TGATAATCATGTTGTTATTTTCAAAATAGCTTATCAAAAGTTTAAGCTTCTTTGTAGCCATTAAGCAAAAATGTGTAACAGAAAAGCCAAAAATAATAAATGAATCAAAATATACTAGAGTAAATCTTAACTTGTAGTTAAAAGAAAGACCAAAATAAATAAATGTTCCACCCTAGATCAAATAGACTTAACAGACACTATAGAACAACCCATTCAACAGCCGCAAAATATGTACACATTTTGATTAGGACATGAAACATTCTCTAGGATAGACCATATGACAGACAATAAAAATAAGTTCCAATGATTTTTTAAAAACTGAAATCATACCAAGTAGTATCTTTTCTGACGGTATGTAATAAAAACTAGAAATCGGGGAGGGGGAGTAAGTGAAGGGAGGGCTGGGATATGGGGGGGTGAGAGCCAATATTTGTCATGTAAAGGTATAAAATCACAATAATAAATGTAAATACTGTATACTTAAAAAGCACCAATAAACTCAATGAAAAAATGAAAACATTAAAAAAACTAGAAATCAATACCAAGAAAAACTTTGGAAACTACACGAATACACTGAAATTGAACAACTTACTCTTGCCCAACAATGGACCAAGAAAAATCAAGAAGGACATTAAAAGATTCTTTGAAATAAATGAAAGTGATAACAATACACCAAAGCCAGTGGTATACAACAAAAGCAGTACTAATAAGGAAGTTCACAGCAATCAAAGCAGAAATCTCTCAAACAACATTATGACTGAATCTCATGGAACTAGAAAATCAGGGAAAAATATGTACAAGAAAAGCAATAACATCACAGCAGAAATAAATGAAATAGATACTTTAAAAACACAAAGAATCAATGAAATGGAAAGCTGGTTCTTTAAAAATAAAAATGACAAACTTTTAACTAGACAAACTAAGAAGAAATAAGCAAAACCGGGGATGAAAATGGAGACATTATTAACACCACAGAAACACAAAGGATTATTAGAGATTATTATGAACACCAACAGACTTGGTTACCTCTAAGAAATGGACAAATTTCCCAACGTATATATGCTATCAAGATTGAATCAAGAAAAAATAGAAGAATTAAATAGTTCCAAATGAGTAACAAAATTGGATCAGTAAAAAAGTCTCCCATGAAAGAAAAGAGCTATGAACCAGATGGTATCACTGCTGAATTCTACCAAACATTCAGAGAACTAATATCAATTCTTAAGTTATTCCAAAAAAATGTGAGGAGTAAAGAATTCCTTCAAATACATTTTATGAGGCTAGTGTTACCCTAATACTAAAACCAGACAAGGACATACCAAAAAAGAAAACTACATGCCAATATTCTTGATGATCACAAATGCAAAAATTCTCAATAAAATACATAATAGACAACTAAATCCAACAGCACACTGAAAAGACTATTCACCATTACAAGTAGGATTCACCCCAAGGATACAAGGATGGTTCAACATCAGTAAATGTTATACTTTGGATCAATGGAAGGAACAACTGTCTTTCAATGGGAAGATCAACCACCATACAATCACCTGAACAGAAACAGTAAAAGCATTTGATAAAAATTCAAATCCCTTCATGATTAAAAAATGAACAAATTAAGTATATAAAGAACATACCTCAAGATAAGTCATCTATAATAAGCCAACAGTTACCATACTGATAAAGAAAAACAGAAAATCTTCTAAGATATGAAACAAGACAGGAGTGCACCATTTCACCACTTTTATTCCAAAGTAGAACAACTGTGCAAGAGAAAAGAAAATAAAATCAACCAAACTGGAAAGGAAAAAGTCAAATTGTCCTTGTAGATGGCCAGTATAGTGCAGGTTAACCTGGAATTTGCACTGATCCTCCCCCGTCAGCCTCCCAAGTGCTGGGATTAAAGGTATGCACCACCACACATGGCTGTTTTTTGGTTTTTCAGACAGTCTCACTATGTAGTTTAGCCTGTCTTGAACTATGAAGCCTAGGCCACCTTGAACTTAAACAATCTTCCTGCCTCAGACTTCCAAGTACTGAGACTCAGCCATGTGCTACCACCCAGCAGATAGCTTAAATAAAGGAACCCCAAAGATTCTACCAAAAAACTGGCACTAATACATTCAGCAAAGTTTAATATAAAATCTACATACAAAAGTCAATAGCATCGCTATACACCAACAGCAAATTATTTGAACTAGAATCAAGAAAGCAATCTCATAAGGGTCACAATAAAATACCAGGAATAGGGCTGGGGATTTAGCTCAGTGATGCCATTGCCTGCCTCACAAGCTCAAGGTCCTGAATTCAATCACCAGTACCAAAAAAATAATAATAAGTTTAACCAAAGAGGTGAAAGATCTTTTACAATGAAAAGTGTAAAACACTGATGAAAGAAACCAAAGAAGACACACCCCTCAAAAAGGAAAGACAAGCTATGTTCATGGATTGCACGAATTAATGTTGTGGGCTGGGTAAAAGATTTAGCTCAGTGGTTCGGTTGCCTGCCTCGCAAGCACAAGGTTCCAAGTTCAATCCCAGGTACCAAAAATAAAAAATAAAAAAATAAAAAAAAAAAGAATCAATGTTGTTAAAATACTTAAACTACCTACAGATTCAAAGTAATCCCTAACAAAATACCAATGACATTCATTACAGTATTAGAAAAAAAAATCCTAAAATGTTTATGTACCACAAATAGCCAACATATTATTCAGCAAAAAGAACAATGCAGGAGGCATTATACTACTATAACTGACTTCAAAATGTACAAATCTGTAGTCATCAGAATAGGGTGGTGCTAGGTGTGATGGTGTGCTAGTGTGATGGTGCATTAGCCAGTACTCAGTAGGCTGAGGTAGGAGGATCATCAAAAGTTTGAGGCCAGCCTGGGCTACGTAGTGAGTTCAAGGCCAGCCTGAACTACATAGCAAGACCCTGTCTCCAAAAAAACAATCATGGTACTAGTAGAAAAATAGACACACAGACTAATGAAACAGAACAGAGAGCCTAGGAGTAAACCCACACATCTGCTTCCCATTGATTTTCAACAAAAGTGTTCACACTCACTGAAGAAAGGAGTCTTTAATCAGTGCTGCTAGAAAAATGGGATCTCCATGCAATGAATCTAGACCACTATTTCTTACCAGTAATAAAACCAACCTAAAATGGATTAAACACTTATATTTAAGACCTGAACCTATAAAACTACCAGAACATATAGTGGGAGTACTTCAGGATATTGGAATGGGCAAGACTTTTGGGTAAGGCCTCAAAAAACATAAGAAGCAATAGTGAAACTAGACAAGTGGGATTACATCAAACTAAAAATCTGTTCAGCAAAGAAAACAATCAACAGAGTGCAGTGACAACCTACAATTTGAAAATTATACTTTTTTTTTTGTTAAAGAGGCAAGAGGGGCCGGGGATTTAGCTCAGTGGTTCGGTAGCCTGCCTTGCAAGCACAAGGACCCGAATTCAATTCCCCGGTACCAAAAAAAAGAAAAGAAAAAAAAAAAAAGAGGCATGAGATTTATTATTATTAGCTTGATTACCTGAGATACTTTTCTAGGGCACGATGAGTCCTGATTTTAAGAATAATAAAATATTTATCAATAGATTACTTCTAGCGCTTAAAACAGAAGTTATGAAAGTGTCAAGCCCACCCACTAAAGAGATTAGCTGCTTATACACAAACAGATACAAAAATTACAAGCTAAAAAAATCATGTTATAACTGAGGTAGTTAATATATTGAGGTGCCAGGCAGGGTCACTCAGGAGGCTGAAGCAAGAGGACTGACATGAGTTTAAGGACAGCCTGAACTACATATTGAAATTCTGTCTCAAAAAATATATTTTTGATATATTTCTCCCTGAATTCAAACTATAGATTAACACTGAAATATTATTCTCAAGGCTGGGGATTTAGCTCAGTGGTTCCACCACCTGCTTCACAAGCACAAGGTCCCGAGTTCAATCCCTAGTACTAAAAAAAAGAAAGAAAGAAATATTATTTTCAGTCTTCCCATTCACCATTTCTATTCACATTCTATCTATATTCAGATATATAGATACCATTAAGGAAACACACAAGTAAAATCACTCAGGTTTAGTAAGCTCATGGTTTATTTTCACATGAATACATCACTTCTGTTTAAACAGAACCAAAGTCACCTAACTTCCCCCTTAGAACATTGTGAATCAAAGTCAGCTATACCCCAAACCCTCACAAAACAGACCTTTATGACAAAGTAACAGACAGATACATGTATTTCCAACAGTCCAGTTAGTAGCCAAGCATTGGTCTTTTAGGTCCAAAGATCTCTGTAACCTACAAGCGCAGATAGGGAAATAAAAGAATAGGACCCAAGTTTTCTGAGACCCTCCTTTGTATTCATGAATAAAGCTACCCCATGGGGTTGAAGGTACCCCACCCCAGCTTCAGCTGAACTTACAGCACTTTCTTAGGAGGGCCATGGCAATCTTTTGGAATTTTCTGCAGCAAATCTCTTCTTCCCTGTCCTTACAACTGCAAAATAGCCAAGAGCAATTCTTGGTGGGAATTCCTTCTACCCAAGCAGGATGAGCACTTACCTAGGGAATGCCACTCTCTAAGAAGCTAGGATTTTGTCTCTTAATGAAAGTTCAACATTAAGAAGATAGTGGAGGGGCTGGGGATTTAGCTCAGTTGTTCCACCACCTGCTTTGCAAGTGCAAGGACTCAAGTTCAATCCCCAATACAAAAAAAAAAAAAAAGAGGGAAGTTATTCACTCACAATCTCAGACCAACCTTAGACAGATAAATTAAGACAGAGACAAGTGAGAAATCTATTTTAACCTTGCCCACAAAATGCAGGTCATCAGGAAATTTCAACAAACTGGTGTGCAGGGTCCTCAGTAGTGTCTTATTTAGATTAAGTCATCCTAGGTCTAACTAGATCAAGCTTCCCAGTTCTGAGATGAGCTCACTATCCATTAGCTCTAGGGACCAATGGACAGATAAATTAAGACAGAGACAAGTGAGAAATCTATTTTAACCTTGCCCACAAAATGCAGGTCATCAGGAAATTTCAACAAACTGGTGCTCAGGGTCCTCAGTAGTGTCTTATTTAGATTAAGTCATCCTAGGTCTAACTAGATCAAGCTTCCCAGTTCTGAGATGAGCTCACTATCCATTAGCTCTAGGGACCAATGGACAACTCATCACTATTTCAAATTTTCTAGTCTGACCTTATGTCCCCAAAGAATTGCGGCAGCAATGGACTAGCCTTAGACTGAGATAAGATGGATGAAATATATGGAACTCCTTCTGGAGTCACAGTACTCCTAGCCCTGCACTAGGAGCCTAATATTAAAAAAAAACAAACTTATTTTAAAAGATTCTCACCACTTCCCTAACTTTTGTACCTCAGTCCTAACCCCTCCCACAATTCCCTTCATATACACACCAGCAGAAGATTCTGTCCCAATAGTTTTCGTATCTCTAGGGCCCAAGGATAAAGCAGCATTAATGGCATTTGGCAGAAAATCCCATTACACACTGAAGACTCCTCTGAGTTCAACACAGTGAACAAATGATGAGACAAGGCAGTAAAAATCAGAGCCTGCCTTTTCCCACGTAAAAGAGGCACAGAGATTTTAGGAGTCAGGGAAAATAGTATCATCTCTTGCCAGAAGGCCACCAGCTACCACTGCTTGGGAGCTGCATTATCACTTGTTTCTCTTCTGGACTAAAGTGCAAAATAGTCAGTATAGCTCTAAGAGTCTGCTGGCGCCCCAAGCTGTCAGGTAAGGTCAGGAAGCGGTAAATGATGTTTTTAAGGTACTCCAGGTTGGCTCCCTCTCTGCTCTGGTCCCTGATATTCTTTTCGATGTGGCTCTGCAGGGCTCCAACCTCCTCCCGATGCCTCTCCCCCTCTTCCAGGAGTCGATCCTGCAACTGGTGCACCTCTACCTCCAGCCTGTGTTTCTGCTTCCTCAATGCTGTGATCTCCACCTCCTTGCGAGCCAACTGCTCAGCATACAGAAAAAAAGTAGGTTCATTGGCCACAGCAAGCTGCAGTGCTTGGGTCAGGCTATCTGGGATAGATGTGTCAGCCAGATCCCTAGGACCCCCACCACCCACAGGGCTTCTGCGACCTGGCAACCCACAGGAAAAAGCCACAGAACGCAACTGCTCCAACTCCAAGTCCTTCTCGGTGAGCACAGCCAGGGCTCGGTCCCGCTGCTTGTGCAGCTCCTCCTCCAGTTTTAATGTGTGGTCCCTGAAGTCCAGCTGGCTGCGCTCCAGCTCCTGCCGGTGAAGCTGCTGCAGCCTGACCAGTTCCTGCTTCCAGTCCTCAGCCTCCTGCTGGTGCTGGCGCTCAAGCTCCTCGCAGGATAGCCGAAGGGAGATATACTTCTCCTTCAGCTCTGCAAGCTGTTCCTGTGCTGCCTCCAGCTCCTTTGCCAGGTTTCCATCTTTGGTATTCTTGCTCTTGAGCACAACCTGGGCCCTCATCTTGTAGCGCTCAAACTCTTCCTTTAGCTGTTTCAGCTCCTGTTGGTAATAAAGTGTAGTAGCCTTTTCTCCGTCCGCAGCCTCTGAGCTGGGCATTATCTCCAGGTCACAGAGCTTCTCCACATCCAGGGTCAGCTGGCTTTTCCTGGCTGCAACCTGCAGCAGCCTCTTCAGCTTCTCCATCTTATCCTTCAGGACATTGACATCCAGACTGGACTCATCTCCATGGCTATCAAGAGGGGATCGGCTAGAGGCTGCAAGAGCCAGCGTTTTGTTCTCCAGATCTAGCTGCAGAATGCGCTCCTTTAGTTTCTGGATGGTTAGCTGGTCCTTCTGCTTGGCTTTCTCATAGGTGCCCAGCAGTTCAGACACTTCAGATATTTGATTTTCTAAGGCTGCTACCCTCTGTTCTTCTACCTGAGATTGCTGGCGGAGCTGATCCTCTACAAGGGCTGTCTACAAAACAAGGGATCAAACAAAAATGAATTCATAAAAATCACAAAGCCTTACAGCAAGCTTGGGAGGTTGGAGAGCAAAAGGGTCATAGTACTGGATTGGCCTAGGGAACTAGGAATGCTTAATACTAAGTTCTTTTGTATATCTGCTATTGTTCTGCTTTAGTTTTCCAGTGCTCCGATATAAATTACATTCCTATCCTGTGCTTCCCCATATCCTATTTAAAAATCACATAATGTTCTTTTCTTCTAATGCTCCTAGAAATTCAAAACCGAGTTGGATTTCTCTCTATTGTGAAAGGTGACACTATAAAACAGCACTTTTCTAAAACAAGCAAATCTTGACTTAAAGCAATTCCAAGATGTTATTTTTTTGGTCACTCTACCTAAGGTACATACATCTAGGTGTGCACACTGTACAGCTGCAACCACTACGCTTCACAGAGCACACAGCAGGTAAGATGCCAATGCCCAGAGGCTCAGAGCCATCTGGCTCAGACCCAGCCACACTCAGAAACTCCACATCCTGTTGGAAAGTCCTTCTCTAGACACTGTTATCACTGCACAGAACAGAATTTACCAGAACTAATTTTTTCAGGTGCATCAAAAGGAGGAGAAAAAAAAACAGTATTTCCCACTTTGGGTCAACTGACTAATGTTTAAAGGAAACATGGATAAAAAATAAATAAATAAATATACATATA